CTTGCAGGAGTAATGTCTATCCAAATAAAGAGAGTGTAAGAAACAGAATTGAATGGATTCAACTTAGGATACACCCCTAGAAAATTGAGTAAAAGTATAAGTTTGGGGATGTGTGTATCTCTCGAGCGAGAAAAGTACATATTTGACTACTATGGGTCAGGAATTGAACCAATCATAATCTTAATATGTGGACATAAGTTTTCACACACACACACATACGTCAGGTTATTCATATAACAGGTGTAGACCGATTTAATTTTTGCACTGTTGTAATTGTTCATTTGTCTGACTACCAAATTTCAAACCTGAGACACGACATATTGTTAAACCATGTTGTTTGTAGAGTTAAGTTACCACCCCACCCCACCCCACCCCACCCCTAGCTTGGTCCAACATAGTGGATTGTTTCCACTTAAAAGTATTGCAGCTCTGACCCATATTACTCATAATTCCGTCAAGCAGGCTGAGGTTACTAAATTTACAATTTGATGGTTTACATGAAAAAATAGATTTTTGGAAAAATTGAGAATTGGGTAACATTGCAACATTTTCAAAACATGAGACCACGTAGAATGCAGTTGTCTAAGTTCACAGTTACAGAGTAGGTTATATCGCATATTTTTTAGTATTTTAAATTGTATTGAATTATATTTTCACATATATATAATTTTTACGTTTTAGTGCATTTTCATATATATTGAAATTTTTTAAATATTATTTAGTTAAATATTAATAAACAACATCGCTCTTACTATCGTTGATTGTCGACAGTTAATGGTCAACGATCAACATTTGGTCTGCCTATACTGAACTTTTGTGCTGGGTCCGCCACTGTCTCCAGATCAAGCCTTTGGTTCGGTTTTGGGTCGATTTGTTTCTTATCTTCTTGTTTTACAAAGGGTGTTAACAAGTGCTTCCTTCTTGATTCTGTATACTGAAATAGAGGAGTAAGATGTTGCTGTTTGCACACACTATATCTATTTTCTTCGAGGCTCGACAACATTTTTTTATTCTAAATTTGGGGTTTTTCCCTTGGGGGGTTAGTCTTTAGCTCCCTTTAATGGAGGTGGAGGTGGTGATGAAGGTTGTAGGGATGGGGGTGGGGGTGGGTTGGGTTGGAGTGGAGTGGGGGAGGATTTGGGAAGAAGAAGGTTCGATTATTTTTTTTTCATTTTCAGTTTTGATATTTGATTATTTTAATTCTTCAATGTGATAAATATGAAATTATCATTTTACCCTCGTTAAAATTGTTAAAAATAAGGTCAAACTTAATTTTTGGGTCAATTGACGGAAAATTGATAGAATCCATTCATTTGGGCTTCAACTGCAATATTTTGAAAGATTTGTGATAACGATTACAATAAATAAAAGGTAAGAGAAAAGTCTACAATTATTTGAAAGATTTGGGGGTACAACTACAATTATCCCTTTTTAAAATCAGAACAAATCCAATATAATTTCAACTAGAGTATTGCACATTTTAATAATTCTTTTTGTAGCGATGATACATTTATTTCATTGGTAAAATTTAAATTATTTTGAATTAACTGAAAGTAATATTCAATCCCACACAATTTTGAGATGAGGAACGAATATTAGAGTTAGGAAAAAATAATTGGTACACTTCGAAAAAAAATTAAAAGTGTTTTTCATTGCAACACATAAATTGGAAAAATAGAGTCTTCAAGGTTGCATGGTAAGTGTTGACCCCAAAAAATGAACTCAATAGAGGTCGGGCCAACTCTTGCCACGTCAAGGGCTGATCCAGCACATTTCTTCCGGAATAGGAATGAAGATTTGATAGTAATGAACGTGTGAGGCACTTTCCGGCAAGAGGCACAAATGTTCGGACTCTGACGATTAGGTTTGAGAAGCAACTTGCGCTGTCAATGAATGCTTGATCCATTTAACTAAATCATTCCTTTCGTAATGGAATATGTGGAATGATAGATATGAAAATGTATTGTATATTCTTTTAACATCAACGTGTGTTCTTCCTTGTGTTTTGTAAAATAAAGCTAAGCGTATAAAGATTTTCTTTATTTTTTGATTGCATGTCCCCGTTTTTAGTACAAAGACAGGTTATTTATACTAACCTATTTGATGTGGTGGCCGTCCGATCACATCCATGTGGCAACATCTCCTAGACCAAAGACTCACATCACTGTCTACGCTAGTAATAGGCTGACACACTGACATATTAAAAGTTACAGACACTTTATTATAGACGTCTCATCAATAGTTCTATGAAATCTTCTAATCTGTTGGGAGGCAGCGTTGGCATTAGTATGTTGAGGTCAGCTTCGGACTTATGGACATCTGGTGCAGTTGAGCTTCGGTGCTTCAGTACTTCGGACATGAAGAGCCTCTGCATCACATAGAAGGGCTTTAAGCATACTTTCATTATTTGTGCTGAAGGGGACATCGGATAAATACAGCTTCGGCACTTGCATGCCTTCGGATAATGGCCTCCTCTATCGTCCTTGACTTTGTTGACTCCCCTGTTGACTTTTAAATTGGCTCTGCTTTCGCTTGATGATAAGGAACGCTTGGCAGTCCGCATGGATCTGCTGTGTACGTGGCAGTCCACGTGGAGTGCTGACATAGAGCCTCTAATTTTGGGGGTAACAGTAAGAATGTTAAAAGAAATATTTAACAATTAAAGTATAATAAAATTAAAGTGGGGAAATATGATTTGCATTTAATAGAAGATGCAGTCACGCAAATATATTTAACGGATTAGAAAAAAAAAATTTATATATTACACTTATCATTAGTCGTAACAACTTCAATGGCAAAATATAGTTATCTCGTTTTTATAACGAATCAAATTTGGAGACTATTATAATTTTGTTCACAAATCTACATGGAAAAAATTAAAATTGTATTACAATTAACACTGCTTTGGGGAATACGAGGAGAATTACGTTGAAAGCAGTATTTATGCCTCCATAGTATCGCTTTTGCATTCCGTAATTTACTTAAAGTACCTTCCAATTTATGAACATCATATTGTATCATTGACTGCAAAGTTATATTCAAATATTCTATGGAATAAAAAACAATTATGAAATGCTGCATGTCAAAATATATATTGTTAACAATCCAAAAATTAGGAAGTGATAATTGTAAAATTATATTGCTAAAGGGATTAGAGTGATATATTGCAGGATTGTAAAGAATGCTAAAATTTGTTTACCGCCCATAATTAGACCTCAAATTCAAAATAAAAAACTCGGAAAACTCAAATTTGAATTCAAATTTCATATTTGATGACACCATGCAGTACGTCATGCAGATGCCATCAACACAATCAGCATGACCGGTTTTGACCATGAGTGCAAAACAATCGCACTAGTTGGCTTGCACAAAAAATTTGTTGCTCGACTATTGCCCACAACTCATCTTATTTAGCTCTTATAAGTGGAGTCAAGTTAATCAACGAGACTGCTCTGGGTAAGATTTTCGTTTAGATCTGATTGTACCATGATTTTTAGTTACCAGATGTGTCCTGATCGTGCTTATGGAGCCATAAAGCATATTAAACTTGACTTCACCTTAATTGCTCAACACTAGAGCTTAAAAGAATATGTCGAAATACTCGAATTTTGAAGACTACTTAATATCTTGGAAAGAGATTGAATACAAAATATTGAAAGGTTCCAATCTTCATTTTCTCATTCTTCATTCACGTTTTCTTCGTTTTTGCTCGAACTTAATTTCCGCTATCTTGGTTGGTGTGTGTCTATTATAACGGGAGGGGGAATGGCCCATAGGTTATTTGTTTAGGGGTTTGGCTCAAGTGTTTTAAAGATGGCATGACGTGGCAATTTAACATTTATTCTTCATTACTCCTTCGAGCGGGTGACCGTTCCTATTTTGACGTGGGTCAGTTATAAGAGAAAATTATAAACCAATTGAAAGAGAGAGAAAAAAAAGAAGGGTTTACGAAAACGAGTGTAACTTTTAGTTAGAATGTCAAACTTTTGCGAGCGAGTACAATTCAAAAGCATTTTTCAATTCAACATATTTTTGTCGGGTGACGATTATGGCCAAATCTTGGGAAAGAGATAAAAAAAATAATCAATTACAACCCCAATTATCCTGAAGTTTTCTCTACAGCATTGTCATATACGAGGATGTGCACGTAGGTTCACGGAAGAACACCAGCCCGTGAAAATTAACTAATGCCCAAACATTTTTCACAACAGCAAGGCTCTCGTTTAGAATCAATTTAAATATCTAAGATTCTTAAGTAAGGACTTACATTGTTCATATTGGAACAAAGTATTTATTAGAAGTATTTATGAAGATACATTCGCACCGTAGATAATTTAGTGTTCGGCTTTCCCAGATTTAAAGATGTAGGAGACAAGAGCAGCAAGTGCCAAAATAACTAGCACGGTTGCACCCATATTCACCAGAAGTTGTCTCTGTTTTTTGAACTCAACAAGCCCTTTCACTGCTTTCTTATACTTTTCGAGTGCAAGGATAGCACGATCACCGATAGATGGATCGATTCTTTGTTTTCCTTTCGACTCTTTGTCCTCAACTGCTTGATCTTTCTTCGTATTTTCCTTCTCAACAATCATTTTGGTGACAATTTCAGCATCAGTTGGTAATTTACTTTTTTCTGTGCTCCTGCTTTTCTGCTCAACAATCTTCTCAAGCGGTTTTTCTGGTGTAATAGGCTTTGCTTTTGCTTCATCATTTTCAGCAACTCTCGGTTGCGTACGCTTTCCGTCGTTTTCTTCCTTCAACCGTGACTTCTGAGGGGTTGAGGGTTCTAAACTTTTCTCGTCTGTTGGTTTTCCGCTGCTAATTGTTGGATTAACATTCGCAGGACTATTATCGCGTTCCTGTTGAGGCTTTGGATCACTTGCGGTTTTTGATTGAAGGACGGGTTCTTGGAAGTCTCTCTTTTCGTCTTTGACTCCAATAGTACCACCAGTCTTTCTTGGCAGTGTAATGGTGAGAATTCCTCCGTGAAACTTTGCATGAATTGATTTCGTTTCACAGTTTTCTGGAATCTGAAATTCCTCCCGGAAGCGATTCCACTTGTTACCGGCAACTAGGCGTTCTCCACTAACCCTGATAATATTCCGGTCAGTTTCAGCCTTAAGTTGCTCCTTCAAGAAACCTGGGGAACACAGAAACAAATTTTAACTACAAAACGTGACATATTCTAACGGTGGTATATGATGTTAAATGACAAAAGTAGATAGGAACTAGAATAGAAAACCGAAAATCATGATCATTAATGTACCAGGGAGATAAAGAATTAGAACATCAGATTCTCCTTTTTGTTGCCATTCTGACATTGGCTGAAAGATTTCATATTCTGATTGGAAATGAAACCAGGAATGATGAGGAGCTGTGCCACCAGTTCCTTCAGGCCTCGTCGCCATTTTTTGCAGCCACCAATAGTATTCGTTTCTCTTGTTCCTAATCTCGATTAGTTGAATCTCTTCTTTCTGTTAATATTTTGTAAGATTCGACATTTTTCCATTTTATGCCCAGATTTTATGTCGATCACCGCCTCTTGTATGTTTCTTTGAAACTTGGAAATTAGATTGTGAATTTATTCCGATTTCATTGCTTCAATGTAGTGTTTGATCCTTGTCGTGAAGATAAAGCTATAAGCACAGTTGTTCTTTGTTTGTCATATACACTTTAAAGTTTGCTGCACCACCATTTTTCCCTCCTTTGGTGGCTAGGAACAACTTTCCTTGAGGACTACAGTACTTCATTACAACATGGACGGAGTCAAGATTGTGCTAAAAAAAATATTTAAATTGAGCTAAAATGTAAAATAAAAAATCATGCAATTTTTTTTTAAAGGGAAAATTAACTTACCGTTTGGCCCCCATTATTTGAGATTATAATTTTTGGGATAATATTTTTTTGAATTTATATGTAATATTATTTCAATGGAAAATGTGTGATTAATATGAAGAGAGAGAAAAATAAATTATGATTTTAACCACACATCAATAATCTTATCTTCTTTTTCAACCACACATTTCCCATCATATCACTATTCAAAATCAATTCTTCCCCCAAAAAATCTCTACCAAACACACACTTAGTTGTTATTTTCTATTAGAAATAATGAAAATTTTCATTTAAAGTATTGAATTTAAAAAAAAATAATAATAATAATTTTTTTTTTAACGGGGCGGGGCGGAGAGGCTAAATTGAGCGCCCAGACCAATTCCCCAAATCCGTCTCTAGTTACACGATTGGCTACAGTAAAATGAACACAAGATTCATATGTAAATATTAAAGCCTCTTGCTGAATTTACATAATAGATTACATAATATCACACGTCACTTTACCATTTGTTAGTTTAAAATACAATCATTTTTTTTATCTAATATGTTCCATCTATATAATATTATGTAATTCACTATCTATATTTTGTATGTCCATGTTACACAATTTCTCATGTCCTACTACATATGAAAAGATGAATGGGGATTCACTGTTCCTTGCACAGTGATTAGTG